CTAGAATAGACAAATTCAGAGAGATGAAAAGTAGATTAGAGGTTGCCGGGGCTAGGGAAGGAAGCAGAGGGAGCTATCACTTAATGGCTATTGAGTCTGTTTGGGCTGATACAAAAGTTCTGGGAACAGTGGTGATGGCTGCACAACACTGGGAACGTAACTAACGCCAGTGAGTTGGGCAAAAAATCGACAGGAAGGAATAAATAGCAAAAGCCCTAAAACTGTGCCTATATTTTGGTGCAGAACGTCTACTCTCAGAAACCTAAACAAAGGAAATAAAGTGATCAGAAATCCACGCACAAAAACGCCCACAAGCAGAACACTCTTCAAGTGAGTATGTCGACAGGATAGAAGGCCACGTAGAACTTAACCATCCCATCCTAGACTGACTGATTTCAGAAAACACTAGAGATGGCTACACGTAGTTTCCGAGAGTATATCCGGCATGATCCCATTTGTGCAAAAACAATGTGACCACATACTTGCAAAAACATTAACCAAAACATTCAGTTGGTATCTTAAAAAGGAGAGAATTATGGATGGGTGAATTTGTCACCCATAATTTACAGGAAGGCCCCTCCCATAGTAAATTGACAGGCAATACTTCTACCATTTAATAAAAGTTAAGATGCATGTTTTCTACTTGCTAAATTTTTTGTTGGGGACCACCCTGGCTGGTCTCAGGAATCCGTAACTGCCTATAACTATGGCTGAGTAAGAGGCCTCTGAACCAGGAGACACTGAAGAGACAAAACTTATTTCCCTGGCATGAACGCTGCCTTTTCATGCTTGAACAGCAGTCAATGACGGGTAACAATTCTCTTGGATAGAGAATGAACCTAAGACAGACGTGTTCATAAAGGATTGACAGGAACGAGACTCGAGGGGCTGTGGAAATAACGGGGTGATCGACATCAACCCCTGCCCCCTCAGCTTTGCCAATGCCTGAGTCCTTGAGAAATCCAAGTTTCCCAGCTGCCTTTGTGTCCTCTGCCCAACTCAGGCCCGTTGGAAGTAACAGGGGCGGTACAGTCTGGGCCAGAAACGGGGGACTCCCAGAGTAATCAGGCCTAAGACACAGAATATGAAAGACCCTGTGAAATCTGCTTGCTGGAGGATGCTCTTTAATTAGAGTATGAAGTCACGGACAGGAAACAGAACTAAACTTTAAGTCCTGTAGTCTTTTTAAATGATAAAACCCCAAAATCTCTGGCTTAGGATCCCAGTAGGAAATCTGCCAGCACCTTTCAAAAGCTAACTACTTGTAATTTGCAAACGGTATTGGTATTCAAGAATAAAACCCTGCTTGGGGGGTGGGGGGGGTGGGGCTTTCCCACTTGGGAGAGTGGCCACTCAGTCCCTACTTCTCCACAGAAAATTGCCTGTTTCTGTGTATATTCATTTCTCATGTTTCAACGAGCCATCCGCAGCGTTGCGTGATCACGCAACAATTTTTTTAAAGATTTTATTTATTTTTAGAGAGGGGAAGGGAGGGAGAGAGAGAAACATCCATGTGTGGTTGCCTCTCATGTGGCCCCCAGTGGGGACCTGGCCCGCAACCCAGGCATGTGCCCTGACTGGGAATGGAACCTGCAACCCTTTGGTTCACAGCCCATGCTCAATCCACTGAGCTATGCCAGCCAGGGCTTATAAATTTCTATAGAACTTAATTTTCCCCCACAAGAGTATTTTTTAAAATAATAAAGATATAAAGTTACATAACGTGAACAGTCTATGTATGCGAACACCCCACGACAACTGTGTTATGCGTAGGTATATTTATACTCATACAGGGCAGGGCAAAAGTAGGTTTACAGTTGTGAGTACACAAACAGAGTTTATTCTTGTGTTATTCGTTAATTGTGTTATTTTTCATACAAACAACTGTAAACCTACTTTTGCCATACCGTGTACTTAAAGTTAGGGTATAACCCAAACATAAGCAGTTACCTCTGAAGAATGGGATTACAAGGGGATTTCACTTCTTGTATTGTTTGAATGTTTACAGTGATCATGTACTATGACCAAATAAAACAAAACAGAACTCAAGCTTGGAAAAGTGCTGTGTGGTTACAGAGCTACTCCTACACATTTCAGGAGAATCTGACTTCCTGGGACTCTTTACTGCATTCGGTAGGGGCTGCAAACTTTTCACTGATGACTCCAGTTATGAAATAAATGGTGCCGTTCTAGCTTCTCCAAAGGAAGAACAAAATATTCAAGTACTTTCCTACATTCTAGCAAGCAAGTAACTGATGAAGAAAACAGGTTTCAAAGTGAAAGTTCATTCCAACTTCATCACTTTAAAACCAATTTTTTTCACTCACATAAATTCAGTCGGACGTACTCACATGATCAAAGAAATACACCACCGCAAGCTTTTTGTTGCGCCTGGTATAGAGGCGCTGCACTTTAGCAATTTTGCCAAAATAGTTCTCCAGAAAGGTCCTGTTGTTGAGATAGTCGGGAATGTTCTTGCACTGGATCGCTGTGACTTCAGCCGGAGAGAAGCCCCCAAGGCGGTCTGTGCTGTCACTTCTTTTACTCTGCCGCCCGGGAGTTCCTCTTAGAAAATCTAGGGGATCAGAGGATGGGAACAGAACTGTAGTAGATGAAATGTTTTCAAACAGAAGGCACCAAGTATGCAAAGCAAAAGAAATTTCCATGCATGTGAGACCTGCCTCAGGATCCTATGGTATATTAATATCCCTAATGTTTACAGGGGAGTTACCAAAACATCAGGCTAACACCCAGGGAAATTTACCAAGAACTTGCCAGCAGGATTAACTGTCGGCTGAATATTTTTAGAGCTCACCTTCCTTTTTATCTCTATTTTCAGTTTCTTCCTCTTTACTCACACCTGTAAGCCGGGAAGGTGCCAGAACAGACTGACTCCCTCCTGGGATGGCCATGTGGTCACTTTCCCCAGACTCCGCACAACCAATTTCCTTTCTAGATTCCTTGTTGCCCAGACGACCGACTTCTTTATTGCTTTTGAAGACATCCTGTATTGTCCGACCAAACAGAGTGCCTGCCCGAGGCCGATTCAGGCGGACAGGCCGTTTATCCGGAGGGTGATCACCCCTAGACAGGGGGTCCAAGTCCTCCACTGCATCGTGGCCATGTCTCCTCGGGGAGCGGTCCTGATCCTCCTTCCGTTTCAGTCCTTTCACGAGGCTGGGCAGAGGCTCCACCTGGGAAACAGCTTCTTCACATCCTTGTCTGACGCATGTTTTGCTAACTGGGAAAGGTTCCCCCAAAGATCCTGAAGAAGTGGGGAAGCTAGTGAAGCTACTATTAAGACTTCCAAATAGGGATTTAGTGCCTCTGTTCTCTTCCTCCACATTTTGGGTTGACAAAGCAGGCATAAAGGGTGATGCTGAATTACTACTTTCAACTGGTTTCGAAAAGGTAAAATTTGATTTAGTAGCTGAACTTGTGACCTGATTAAAAGGAAATGGGGCCAGTCCCCCAGATCCACTACTAATTGGTTGGGCAAATGTGAAAAACCCAGAAGTAATCTGGCTTTGAGTTTTCTCTGGCTCGGATTCAGCTCCCAGTATTGGCCTGAACACTGAACTTTCCAGAGGTTTAAACATAAATTCTGTTTTCCCAAAACCAGAGCTTGCTACTTCCCCAGTTTCCGGTCCAAAAGTAGAAGTACTTGGGAAAGTCCCAAGGCTGGGTGATTTAAAAGTAAATCCTGAGTTTCCAGGAGCACATGAACTTGAAGGCCCAGAGGTAGCTACAAAGGTCGGAGTGTGTTCAAGTCCAGAGAAGAGTCCAACATTTGAGGTTTGAGAGAATCCTAATGTTGGCACTGAAGAACTACCTACTCCAGAAGACACTGGAAAGCTAGATACCTGTGAAAATCCTGAGCTTTTCACAGATAATGTACTGTTTTGTCCAAAAAGAGAAGGCTGACCAAATCGAAATGGTTGCTTAGCCTGAAACGCTCCTATGGAACTACTGGAAGATGTTGAAAAAGCACTAGGCTGCTGCCCACTGAAAGGGTTTGTTGGGTTCATCTTCTGACCCAGTAATTGGATGGTAATAAACAATCAGTGTACAAAGCAGTCCTGTTCCTTAAATAGTCTGTTGAACTAAGGAGCTCCCCTTCATCTTCACGTAAGCTGAAAGACAAAAATTCAGATCATCAGAACTATGTGCCGCTGCAAGACTAATAAAGGAATTTTTAATCACAAGTCACACTTAAACTATCTAAAAGAGGGTCACAGTAAAGGGCCAGGTATTATTTTCTGAGAGTCAGTGGGTTCTTTTTTTGGCGTATGGGGTGGAGAATGGTTCGAATAAACAGCTTTGTAACAGGGCTTTAAAGCATAACTAAAAATCAAACCCTTTGACTAAACTGACAAACTTACTAAAAACCTCAAACATTAATTTTTTAAAATGAATGCCATTATACTTTGTAAATAAGAAAGAGTTTCTCCTTACTTCTTCCAATCCATATCCAGATGATTTCCCCGTTAACACAGCTAAAACATCAGTGCTTCGGTGTTCCCTCCCACCTAGTTTTTCTCCGAGTAACCATAGCACTAAACACTCTTTTCAGGCACAGAAAAAAAAATGTTTTTATACCAAGGCGACTGGCCGAACAAACTAGCTTAGAGATCGTGAATACTCACGCGCAGGGGCCTCCCAAGACCGGGAAAGGGGTGGAGCGTTGGTAGCAAGACGCCAACTCGCAGGCTGTGCGGTGGGTCCCCGCACAGGCCGCGCCCAGGGCCCGGCGGCCCGCCGTCCTACTCCGTTAGCGATGCGCGGACGGCGGGGTCAAAAAGTGGCGCGGGAAAGGGGCAGACTCCGCTCGGCCCGGACCCCGCGCCGCGATCACCGTCCCGCCCAGCGATGCCTCCGCTTCACGGTATCTCGGCGCTAAGCTGGAAGTACAGACGCCGACCAGAGCCGGCGGAGCCAGCACTTCCCTAAACGCGCGGGCAAAAATAGTGGTGGACCGACTTCCGGTCCTATCCGCTCGGCTCGGCCCCGCCCACGGCCCTCCGCGCTTGGGTTCCGCTCTCCCGCCGAGCGGCGGCGGCGGGACTCCCGCTGCGCAGGATCCAGGCTGGGGTCTTCTGGCTTTGGCCGTTGTACGTACACGGGCAGCTTCCTCTCTCCGAACTGGGGGGACGTCGTACCCACCCGCGCGTGATAGCTGAGACTTACGTTCCGAGGCCGCGGCCAGCGTTGAGTGGTTCCTGGGGAAGCCTCGGACCCGATCATACGCATCCCGTCCGGGTGCTCCTCCACTACCATTACTTGTTTCCTACCCCGCCGGCCCGCTTTCGCTATTAAAGGCCCTTCTTCCCCACCAGCCTTAATTTCCTGTGGCTACCTTCTGGCTTGCCTGGCTCTATGGCTTCGTTTTATATACCTTCATTTTTATATCTGACTTAGGCTAAAATGTAAATTCCTGTAGATTTTTTCCAATGAGTTGCACCAAATAAAGTGATTTGATTGTGTTTGCGTGTGTTTTTACAGAATTTATTATCACTTTCTAGGACTGATATGTCTTCTTTCGAACTTCAAGCACAGGTTGCTTTACAAACGTTTTTAAAGGGCCCCCGGTTGTCTTCCTGAAATGAGTCTGGTTCTCAGAAACGTGCAGCGAGCTATCCCGCTCCGAAGAGTGCCGCTCCGCCAGAGGATGGAGATAGTCAGGAGTATTTTAGGGGTCCAGAAATTCGACCTGGGGATCATCTGTGTTGACAACAAGAGTATTCAGCACATCAACAAGATCTACAGAGAGAAAAATTTCCCAACCGATGTGCTTTCTTTTCCATTTCATGAGGTAAAACGTATTTTCCTCCTTCCCTTGTCTAGCCTCCCGTCCACTGTAAATTTTCTGTGTTAATTATACTACAGATATGATTTTTTTTAGTTTTATTTTGTGAATTTTGAATATACGCAAAAGCTACCCTATTGACCATTGCCCGTTAACTGAAGGAGAAAAGGGGATTGAGTTCCCCACGCCCCTCCTAATGTAGTCAGCGATACTTAATGCAGTTTGAAATGTGAATCAATAATGAATATTTTAAATAATGAAAATTTTAAATAACACTGAATAAAAGAAGAAACTTGTGTAAATATTCTCTACAAACTTGTGATAGCTATCGGATTACTCTCACTGATGTAAATGACTCATTCACAGCTTCACACATTGTTAGAAGTTGCATAAATCAGAGCAACCCTTTTGGAAAGGACCGTGGCAACACATTTCAGTCCACTAGTATCACACCCATGGGAATAAATGAAGGAAGACGATAAAATGTTAAATGTGTAATATATAAAAATGCATTGAAATGTTCACTTGTTTTCACTAATAGGAAGAAAAATAACACTAACGATACTAAATAAATATGGAGCCATAGGTGACTGGCTGAACTGAATGGACTGGCCTTTAAACACTTTTTTTCTATTATATTTTTTTTTATGTTTTAGAGGGGAAGGAAGGGAGAGGGTGAAACATCAGTGTGTGGCTGTCTCCCGCGCGCCCCCTGCTGGGGACCTGACGCGCAACTCAGGCATGTGCCCTAGACGGATTGGAAACAGAACCCCTTGATTCGCAGACCTGCACTAAACCACTGAGCCACACCAGCCAGGGCCTTTATGGATTTTAAAGTAGAAAAATGTGAAAGGCTGTTTGTTTAGGACAAAATACCAAGAGGAAAGAATAGAAAAATAAAATTGTATCAATGTGGTGATTTAACTCCTACAAGTTGCAATCTGTGTGATTGTGCATTGGGAAGGATGAAAGAAATAGAAAGGAACTCAGTTGACAAGGTGGAAACACCTTGTCACCTGCGTGTAGTGCCTTTGCAGTCCCCCACCCCACCGTAGGACTAGTGAGAGGACAGTGGCTTCCAGAATGAAATGTGTAGGCCCGTGGTTGTGTTAGTGTTGCTGACGTCCTGTTCTCACGATGTGTTTCCTCATTGGCAGAATCTGAAAGCGGGTGAAATTCCCCAACCAGATTTTCCAGATGACTATAATCTGGGGGACATTTTCCTAGGAGTGGAGTATATCTTCCAGCAGTGCAAAGAAAATGAAGATTACTACGACATCCTGACCGTAAGTGGGAATGCTGAAATGACAGGTTCTGTCTGGTGCGATGAATACCGTGTCCCTTATCCAGGCCATAAGAGGCTGGCAATGCACTACCTGTGTCCACACTATTGCCCACACTGTCGCCTACGGGGAGAACAAGTGTCATTGAGGGAGACTCAAAGAGAGGGAGACCCACAGGGAGAGAGGAGACCTGGTGGGGCCTGTACACCCTGGGGCAGGGCTGGGGCAGGGCTGGGGCAGGGAGAGGACAGGAAGCTTCTGTGTAACTGAAATACGAGATCCGGGAAGCTCCCCTCGATGGCCTTGTTTTAGCTTTTGCCTCGAGCTCACCAAGCTGTATAGCTAACATAGGCAGGCTAATTAAGCTTCTTAGGAAACTTCCTGAAGTGGACAACATTTAGCATCCGGGACCTTTCAGGTCTGTCCTCACCTTAAGGTAAAAAAGGGAGAGGGACAGGCAGTGTTCTGAAAGCACCCAGTGAAAGCGAGTCCTATTTTAACTTCCCCAAGGGTTCAGTGGGGGGGTCTTCCTTTAGCCAAATAGCCACACCCTGAATTGTGTCGGGGGGTGGGTGTCTAGCCCTTCCATGTGAGACCCAGTGTGAGAGGTGTGGGGAGAGGAGGAGGTTTTCCTTTCTTCCTGAGCGACAGGAAACCCATCGTAGTCAGGACTGGCCCAGCTCTGGGATCTCTGTGGCATGCAGCACTGCAGCCCTGCTGTGGGAGGTTCAGAGGGTATTTGTAGACGTCTGATCCTGAGGGTTCTGCATGGAAGTAGAGGGCTAGCCCACCACTCCCAGGACCCTCTTCCCCTGGCACAGGGCCAGGCCAGGCCACTCTCTGCCCTACAGGCTCCCAGCTGCACACAGGCACCTTCTAACAGGTACCCCCGGGTACCTCCAACTATCCACCTTGTCCTTCACATCTCACCGCTCCTCCAGCCCTTTCCCCTGCCCCCAAAAGCAGGTGTCTCCTCAGGAAATAACCCCCTCCTCACCCCACCCTGCAGACCCTGGTCTTCACACCCCTGACAGGGTCCTGGCCCACCTGCAGTTCCCCAGACCCCACCCATGTCCTCCTGCCCACCCACACCCTCTGTGCTGCTGCCACCGACTCCCAAAGCCTTGTCTGGGCCCGGGGGAGGGCTCCTAACCTCCCACCAGGTGTGGGCTGAGCTCTCCCTGCCTTCTTCCTCCCCCTGCTCATGGCTTGGTCATGACCAGCCCCTGAGATGGCTTTTTAATGGTTCTAACAGGTGACTGCCACCCATGGGCTCTGTCATCTACTGGGCTTCACCCACAGCACGGAGGCCACTTGGCAGAAGGTAGGTGCTGTCCCCCACCAGCCAGGGCTGCCCGCCCTGCCCCTTGCAGTTGATAAAAACCAAAATTGAGGCGGGGGGGAGCAGTAAAATAAGGAATTTTATCTATGCTTACATCATTAAAAAAGACTTACACTTGTTTTAAATGCTGGGCTCCCCAAATGCTGTTAACTGTATTATTAAGTCACTGTGGAAAGGAAAGTCTGAACAGAGAGACTGAATTCTAAGAATTCTAATGGCTTAAAAAGTCTTTACAAGAGAAATTGTGGTAATATTTATCATTTGGGAACGGGATTTAAAATGTGCAGGTGTCCAAAAGGCACCTACTGTGTAAAGTCATGGAATAGTTGGTCTCCTGGAGGGGCGCCACTGGTTACCCACATGTACAGGTCCGCGTTGATAGATATGCCATACTATGTTTGATGTACTCAAACTGTATTTGTAATCAAACAGTCAGGTTGTCTGAAAGGCTTATTAAACTTTTTGTTAACAAAAGAAGTGCTCAGTGCACTCGTGCTCTGCCCACCCCTCCACCCCGCACCCCGTCCTAGGCTGAGTCTCCACCACCCGCCCCCTGGCTCCGCCTCTGCTCCAGGCCAGATGCTGACCCTCCTGTGGCCCCTTTGCCCCTTTCCCCTCAGCACCCCTGCCTTTATAACCCACAGACTGAAGTCTCAGCATCTTAGGGAAAGCCGGAGATGTCACCGCCAGTGTGCAGTCCGCCAGGGACCCCAGCCCTCCAAGCCCCGACCACCGTTCCCCAGGAAGAGGCCATCCGCACCCCCTCCCTCCTATGCATCCCACGCCTGTTGTCCTGTGACCCCAGATAGGCTCTCCTCTTTTCCACCCAGGGTCACCACCTCAGCCCTGCCTATAGCCTCTGCTGCAGCATGCGGGGACTCCCTGTGCCCAGGTGCCGGGCGCCCATGAGCAGAACCGGGACCTGCCCTTCGACCTGTGTGGAAGGCCCCATGGCCAAGGCTCCCCATGCCACAGCCAGGGACATGGGCCGGGGGGAGGAATTTCCTGAGGAGCAGACCCCTGGGCGGAGCCAGGGACACCCCAGGGCCCAGGGAGGCCACGCCAGCTGGACAAGCCCACAGTCAGTTTCCATTCCTTTCTTTCAGATGTACCAGATGGAGAAGCAGGTTCTCGAGGAGCTGGGCCGGCGCACTGGGCTCAGGCTCCAGCCCCTGAGCAGGGACCTCTTTTGATGATCACAGCCGAAGATGCAGGTTTACCTGAGAGACCCTCCAGAACACGGGGACAGTGTGTGGATGGGAGCCACCCCCTCCCTTCGGGCCCCGGGGATCAGAGACTCCACCACACTGAGGGTCCTGCTGGGCAGCGCCCAAGCTGGAGCTAAATTCCGTAAGTGGAACTATTTCTTAAAGCATGAGAGAAATTTCCACTCATGTCTTTACTGAGAACACAGCAGACATGTTATCTTCAGTATTGTAAATAAAACAATTCTAAACCCTCAGATCTTATAACCTCCTCCTCCCTGGGATCCTGCCTTTGGTGATGAGGCCTGTCTCTCTCCCACCTCTGCAGCCCCTCAGGAAGACGAAACAAGCAGCCTGGGGGCATGTGAGTGGAAGCAGGTGGTGGAGGGGCCAGGCACTGAGCCCGGGGGACCTCCGTCACCTGAACCGCTCAGGTGTGGGCGTGCTGCTGCAGCACCTGGAGCTGCAGAGGCCATGGCCCTGACACAGCCTCTCGGAGATTCTTTTTGGCCCTAAAACCGGGAAACTGTGGTTCTGAGAATTTGGTTTCCCCTGTGAGTCAGCTTTAGGAACATGAGAACATGAGGAACACGTTTCCCACTGGATTTGTGTGCTGGCTCAGCCTGCCCGTCCCCCGCTGCTCCCAGGGACAGACAGGGACTCGAGCCTGTGGTGTTCCTGAGTCACAGCTGGCTGCACATCGCCTGCGCCTCGTCAGTTCAGCTTGTTCTCAGTTTAAAGTAAATGCAGAGACCCACAAAGCCCTTGGCTCCAAAGTCCTCGTTAAGAGACTGAAGGGAGACCTTCTGGCCCTGTCCCGTCCAGGGCACGGGTAGGGTGCCGGGGCAAGGGAGGGGAGGTCCAGTTTTGCCAGGCGATGCCCAATACTTCTGAGCAGCCTGTACCAAACAGCCACGTGGGATTCTGCTGCCAGCCACCTATAAATCCCAGAGGCAACGTTTTGGTGAAAAAGGAAAGGAGTCTTGAATATAAAGGCTATACAATGTTGGAAGAATAGTGATCTTCTGCCTCAAAACCCATTCGTTTAAAACACCCAAAGACAATAACCCCTTCACCCTTTGCCAGATCAGGTCAAGGCTGCGCCTGGAATTCCTTCTCCCATTTAAAAGTAACGTCCTTTTTGGGACACACAAATGGCCGTAGCATGGTCGTCCAGGTGGCTTAGCCGGCTCCTGGTCACAGACTGGCTGCAGGCGTCTTTTGGAGCCTGTGCACACTGGTGTCCTATTCACTTCCTGCTGCCCTTGCTGCCAGCTGCTGCCCACCAGTCCAGCGCCATGCCCATCCCTTGAGCCATCAGCCTGGCAGCACGTCATGCACCTGGCCGATTGGGACCGCACAGCACGGCGCCAGTCACAGCACTGCCACCGCTGCTTCTCACACGGGGAAGGGCACAGGAGCACTGCCAGACCGCACAGTCCCCAGGGCCCGCAGGCCTGGGGACACTTGGGCCCCCAACCCCCAACAGGGTTAGTGAAGAGAAGGGAAAAAGGGACAAATTTCCACGAGCCTGACTGATTAAATCACTGCCAATGGTCATTAACTCACCCCAAAAGTTGGGGGTGAGACTAAAAGGTCCAACCCTCTAATCACCTGGCTGGTTTCCCTGGTGACCAGCCCCCACTGGGAAGCTTTGTTGGGGCCAACAGAGTCACCTCATTAGTATAATCTCAGGTGTAGTTGCAAGGGACTCATTGAGAAGAACCAAAGATACTGATCTCACCCATCACTCAGGGAAGTTCAGGGCTTTACAATGGAAGCTCTGTCTGCGCCAGGAACCAGGACGAAGAGTCTATTTAGTATCTCCCAATATCATGCCATGCAAAGCCCCCAGCCACCCCACCGCAGGTCCCTGGCCCCGGGACTTGTCTCGCAAGCAGTCTGACCCATGGCCAGAGCCTGCTCAGACCTCTTCAGCTTCCCCGGCTGGCCCAGAGGGACCGAGAGGGATGTCACCCAAGGGTGCCTTCACCCCTGCCCCACCTCAGGTGTGGCTCCACCCCTGCCATGGGCTGGCCCAGGGGTGCCTTGCCCTGGATTCCGTAGCACCTGACACTCCTGCCTGCAAGTACGTGTGTCCTTGACCCAGCAAGGCCATGTGTGGGACATAGAAAACATGTGTGTTAGTCTTTGCCCCCAGTTCCTGACACCGAGCTCCTTAATCCCTTGTAATTTCCTGAGTGCCTAGAGCATCTTTTATTTATTTTTTAAAGATTTCATTTATTTCTTTAGAGAGAGAAGGGAGGGGGTAAGAGGGAGAGAAACATTGATCAGTTGACTCTCGCACACCCCCAACCAGGGACCTGGCCCGCAAACCAGGCATGTGCCCTGGCTGGGAATCGAACCGGTGACCTTTCGGTTCTCAGGCCAGTGCTCAACGCTCTGAGCCACACCAACCAGGCATGGAGCACCTTTTATTCTAATAAGGTAATTCTGCATGGGCTCCTGGTTGGGAGCTGGTCACTAGAAAAGCCAAGTCATGGTTAGAAGCTTGGAACTTTCAGCCCTTAATCCCTCATTCTCCAGGAGGAGAGATAGGCAAAAGATGGAGTTAGTGATTGCTCGTGCTTTTGTGCGGAAGCCTCCATAAAAGCCAATAGCACAGCATCTGGGGAGCTTCCAGGTTAGTGTATGTTTCACAGTGGGGAGAGTGATGCACCTCAGCTCCATGGGGACAGACGCTCCTCAGCTCAGGACCCTCCAGACCTCGCCCCCTGCATCTCTTCACCTGGCTGTTCACCTGTCCTTTACCATGTCCTTTCATAAGCTGGGAAATACAGCTATCTGCCTGAGCTCTGAGCCGCTCCAGCAAACTAAGTGGACCCAAGGAGGGGTCATGGGGGCCTCTGATCGATAGCCAGTCGACCAGAAACAGAGGGGACAACATGGGTTCGAGACTGGCACCTGAAGTGGGGATGGAGAAAGCAATCCTGTGGACCTGAGCCCTGAACCTGCGGGACCTGGCGCCATTTCCAGGTACAGAGCGTCACAACTGAGTTCAATTGTAGGGCGCCTAACTGGTAACAGAGACTTGCTTGTTGTTGTGAGGAAAACCCCCACAGGCATTTGGGGACCAGCGTGTCAGAAGTGAGGCGTCCCTGTGAGTCATAAAGGAGACTCACAGGGAAGAAACTCGTGGGAGGGAAGACCTGGGTTTTTTTCCTACTCGAGAGGTGCCCTGAGCTCAGTTTTTCCCTGCTGGTGTGGGTCTAGGTGGGCTCCACCCTGAAACCTTGCCAGGACATCCCCGTTGGGTGGGCACCACAGCACCCAGACGCTTGCCTGGGCCCAGGGGCCTGCCTGCCTGCAGGTCCAGGCTTGCATGTGAGGACGAGCCCAACCCCTTTGTGTGTCCTCCACCCCTCCGGGTCCAGGCAAGTGCAGCAGGGTAGGTGGGTTGGATTTGCATTAGGATTGGGGTGGGGATGGTGATGAAGGTGGGGTTTAGGATGAGGTTTGGGGTATTAGGACTGGGAGCTTCCTCTTCTCTGTCCTCCGTGGCCAGAACTCCTGTGTCCTCCCCCCGCCCTCTGTGGCTATGGGCCACTGTCTGTGGTGTAGACAGCGAGGAAGAAAGTCACGTTCTGAGCCAGCTGAGCTGAGTGCTGTCCTCACCCCAAAGCTGTCACCAGGTCACAGAGTACCTGTGCTGGGGGAATGCCCAGAACAGACTGTCTTCAGTGTTGGACGGGGAGTGGCGTGAGGACAGCAGGGACCCCAAGGAAGAGCCCAGAACCCTGGAGTGTCCGGCCCAGAGGTTAATCATTCCTTGAGAAGAAGGAGCTCCTCCTCCTGCACGTGTTCTACCCAGACCCCCGACCTGGGACCCCCAGCAGTGCCGTCTCAGAACCTACCCCGCACCCTGCTCACACTCCCAGCCGCAACCCACCCTAGGCCTGGCTGCACCTTTGGTTGCCAGCCCTAGGCCTGGCTTGGGTCCTGAGTGGTCCTTTCTGGAGCGGTGGTGGCTCCAGGAATCCACAGTCTTGGGCTTTGTGCCTCGGGGTCCGGGCACTGCGCTCCAGACCTGGTCCCTCCCTGCTGCTCCCACCTCGTTTGCTCGACTTCTGCTTCCTCAGTGATCGTCTCCAGCCCTCGGCTCTTTCTCTGGGCCCTCGGCCCTGTTGGTGACCCTCTGCAGTTTTTCATAGACACCCGGCCATTCCCACCACTCTTGGGCTCTCTCCCTCAATAGTCAGCCATTCCCCTGTCCTGGGCCCTTTCCATAGCAGCGTGGTCCTCACCGTAGACGGTTGGAGCTCCTCGGAATCAACCCTAGCACACTCAGAAAATGAGATCAGTCCCATCTGCTCTGTAATTGACTCTCGGTCATTAGCAAGGAGGCCTATGGCCCCAGCTGCCTGCAGCACTCTCTCTGGATACTAGGTTAGGGTCAGGGTTAGAAGGTCAGAGTTATAGGGACCCCCACTTGACTCCCACGTGCCCCCTGGTGAGCCACACTGTGACCACCACATGGTCCTCACTTGATTTCCATGTGCCCTCTACATGACTGTCACGTGATCCCCCAGCACCCAACAGGATTCCCATGTGCCCTCTGCGATCATTACGTGCCCCCATGAGGCATTCCACGTGACTCCCATGGGACCCTGTGTGATTTACCCCCTAAGGGGGAGGTGCACTGGAATGAGTTTTTCCAATTCACCAGGCTTTCCAAAGACAGTGGGCTTGTCAGACTTTTTTACTCTATTAGTAATGATGAGAAACAGAACCACAGCCATGTTAGAAAAAGTTTCTGTGACGTAGGAAATACAGTCAGACCTTTAATTGGTGCATTGAACAAGAGAGGCGGCCGAGGGACAGCCCAGCTGTGGGGACAGCCCAGCTGTGGGGACAGCCCGGCCCTGACGTCAGCCCAGAGGGAACTTGCGTGCAGCAAAGCGGACGTCATGCTTCCTCCAGCCTCCTCTTGGAGACCCCACGGGTGCAAAGACAGTGTCCCAGCTTGTGAACAACTCAGCGAACCTCATAATGTATCCTAACAGGGGCCATGAAAATATGCATACTACTAAAAAATGACACTTACGTGAAAACAATGTTGAAAAGAGGGCAACACAATTCCATCAAGGAAAAATGAAGTAACAAAAAGTACAGAAAGAGTAAAGGTGACGGGTTCATCAGGTAAGAAACCCAAACCCCCCTCATAAGGAGCCGTGTGGGGCTCCTCGGCTCTGTCTGCAGGAAGAAGGCCGCGCTGGCAGGTCACGACGAGTGCTCGCTCCTCCAACAGTGCATCACGGTTCGGTCTGCAGCCACCATGGGGTAGACATCTCCCAGGCATCATTAGATTTAGCTTTGTGGTATTTTTCCCATAGGAAGGTTTATATTTTTATGTGTCTAAATCTATGGATCTTCTGCCTATGACTCCTGGCCATCTTCTCTGACCAAATTCCTGTATTTCTCTGTGGTCCTCAGTCTGGCATCCAGAGATGTTGCTCGGCTTCCGCCTGCTTTTTCAGACCACGCCCCTGGGGGAGAGGGACCTCGGGCTTAACAGGCAAGGGGGGCTCACTGGCCAGGAGCTGGTGGGGGCAGGAAACTGTCAGGTGCAGCCCTAGAGGAAAGACAAGTCTGGGTGTCGTTACTGCTCCCGAGGGCTGGCAGACTCCACATGGCAGGTGAGTCCTGGTCCAGATCCGGTGGGGGCCCTCACAGCTGTGCTTGGACTGGACACACCCATGGTCATCTGGGCTACACAATGACCCAAGCTGCAGGCAGCTCTCTGGGGAGGTTGTGGTGAGGGGGGGTGCCACAGTCAGCTGTGGTGAGGGGGGCTGGGGTGTGTGAGGCTGCCATGGTCCCTTGGCTGCGCCTTTCCAGGCTCCTTTCCCAATTCCCTGCTGCCGCCTGGGGACCTGACAAAGACCTACGTCCACCCGCTTCTCAGTAGGCTTGGGGAAGGGGGACAGGGCCCTGGGGTCCTTACGTGCTAAAAGCATCTGCAGAGGGGGCGACCACGTGGCGCACGGTAGGCAGGAAGCCAGCGGCAGGTGGGAGGGCGGTGGCGGAGACCACCATGGGCCAGGTGGAGTAAGCCACGGGTGAGCCAGGTGCAGGGCCCGCCTGCAGCGGGGTTGGGGGTGCGTAGTGGTGGTGGTGGTGCACGGAGGGCGGCTTCTGCCTCTCAGCTCGCAGGACAGTGGGGTGAGCCCGCTGCAGGCCCTCGGCACAGCACAGACACCAGCTCATTTCGCCTGGGACCACCACTCCGGGCACTCCTCTCCCCCACCCATACTTCCCACTGCTGTTCCTGACCTAGGCTCAGAGCCCAGGGAGGGCAGGGAGAGGAGGGGTGTGGAGGGGAGAAAAGGGAGGGAGAGCTCATCCAGAGCAAGGAGGCAATTTTGGGGGCCCCAAACGGTGCAACCCATTCCTCATTTGGGCGGGGACAGGGGAGAAATGGGTGGCTCCACAGCTGCACCACTGACCCCCAGAGCCAAAAATATGCTTTTCAGAGTTAGAAGCACAACTTTCCAGAAGAGAAGCGACCCAGGTGTTGACTTGGGTGGCCTCCTTTGCCCAGTGTCTGCTCCAGGCTGAGCCTACCTGTGGGGTGGGGTGCAGGAGTGTGGCCTGCGGTCCCCTGGAGGACACAGGGGCCGCTGGGGGCAGGGCTTGGAGCATCAGGTTCTGCATGATAACCTGGTGCATCTGTGCGTTCTGCAGCAGCATCATCTCCACCATGTCTGAAAGGGGGTGGGGCCGGGGAGGGCAGGGCTTTAGAGCAGCCTGTTTACTGAAACAGATGCAGCATGTTACAGGTGTCTGTTCCTCCTGGGGAGCGGCGCACATTCCCGGATGTGAAGCTTCCAGGTCTGAGGGGGTGTGTGGATGGTGTCCGGCTGGGCTCCCGGGAGGTGGCTCCGCTTGCCTTCCCGCTAGCAGATTCCTCGCGCCCACCTGGGCTGCATGATGGGCCCTGAAATGTGTGTCCACGTCCTAACCCAAGACCTCAGAACGTGGCCTATTTGGAGAAGGGGTCTTTGCAGGTGTGATGAAGGACCTTGAGGTGAGATCACCCTGGCCTATCTGGGTGGGCCCCAAGTCCAGGATAAGTGTCTTTATACAAGACAGGCAGAGGGAAATGGAGACCACGGAGGAGGCCCAGACTTGGACAGGGATGAGTGATACGGACACAGCCCAGGAAACCTGGAGCCATGGCTGGAAGAGGCAGGAAGGACCCTCCCCGGAGGGAGTTTGGCCCTGCAACACCTGGATTTTGGACTTCTGGCCTCCAGGCTGTGACAGAGTGGGTTTCTGTGGTTTGAAGCACCTGGTTTGTGGTGCTTTGTTACGGCTGCTCCAGGATACATTCACCAACTCTGGATACTATAAAACATGCAAATTTGGTCAGCATGAGAGGTAAACATGGGTTTTTCCCACAGCAGCTATAGCTTGGAAATTAGGCATCTCCTCCAGGCTCTGTCAGCCTCACCAAAATAAGGAGGGTCCCCGAGGGCTGTTGATATTTCCAGGTAAACAATTAAGAGCCTGGAAGTCTGGGGGCAGGGGCTCTGACAGGGCACGGGGCACAGGACACACAACACCAGCCAACAGCCTCCCCACTCAAACCTCCTGGGTCCCCAGCAGGCCAGCCCATCCTGCAGATTTTGGACTAACCAGGCCTCCATAACTGCATGGGCCAACTCCTTAAAACACATCTTTCTCCCTATACATGCATCCTATTGGTTCTGTTTCTCTGGAGAGCCCTTACTAACACAGATTTTGCCACAGGACTGGGGCACTATGGAAGGTCGGGCAGGAGCCAGACTCCTGCAGCATCACAGCTGTGGGAACTCTGACCCTGCAGGATAAACAGTTGGAGAGGCTGAGTCTGGCAGCCACACCTGGGAAAGGCCCTCAAGGAGACACACGTGTGCCTGGGCCGGGGCAGCCCCCACCCACCAGCAGCGGCAGCGGCGGCGGCAGGACCCCTCTGAGGGAAGGCTTCCCCTGGCAGGCCCGCAAGACTCCCACCGATAGGGTCAGGACTGAAAAGATTAGAGCAGGCAGGAGGGCACAGAAATGGACACATCCTAGATGGACACATTGCTAAAGGGACACTCCACGACAAAGGGACGCGTCAGTGCAATGGGACACTGAGTCTTTAGTCAATGGCACAGGGTCACACTGATGTCCAAGGCAGAAAAATCACATTGATCCCTAACCGGCAGCACACACACATCCACTCCAGGTGCATCGTAAATCTGAGTGTGAAACACACACTGAGCCTTATGAGGCCACATGACCTCGAGCTGGTAAAGACTTCTTAGATGGGATACCCAAGGCACTGACCATAAAGGCAAGAGCCTGGAAAACTGAGCTTTATTAAAATTAAGAACTACCGGTTTCATCCAAAACCATGAAGACTGAAAGGGCAGGCCACAAAGAGGACTTAATATTTGTAATATTGTACATGTGTCAAAAAAGGATCCACTGTATAATGGAAAGAATTCCTATAAATTAACAAGAGGCAGACCACCTGAAGAAAAATGGGCAAAACACTTCAATGGGCACTTCACAAAAAAAGATATTCAGATGGCCAGTAAATAGATAAGAAGGTGAAATGCAAATTAAAGCCAGACTGACCTACCAGATTGGCAAAAATGGAAAAAAATCTGAAAACTCAGTGTTGGCGCTGGCTGTGGGCAGCTGAAACTCCCCTTCCCTTCCGTGGCACCTACATGGGAATCACCCCTCAGGAAGCCCATGTCCACGTCCCTTCACCAGAGGACGGGAACTTTCAGAGCAGCACTGCTGAAGCAGCCACCACAGGAAAGGACCGGAACACTCAACCCCCAAAAGGATGCACCTGTGGACTGTGGGCTGAACCATGGCCCCAGTGATGCCCACACCTGGATCCCCAGAACCCATGATTGTGTTCCACTACAGGGCAAGAGGGACCTTGTGGATGTGATTAACTTAAGAATGTTGAAGTGGAAGCAACGGAAGTGTCCACAGATGGGTAAAGGGATGAGCAACAGGTGGTCCGTACACACAGTAGAATATTCCTCTGCCTTAAAAAGGAGGGAGATTGTGACACACACTGCCACGTGGGGGAACCTCAAGGATATTATTCCAATCACAGGTGCTGTGCAATTCCACTTGGGTAAGGTTCCTAGAGGGGTCAGATTCATAGATGCAGATAACAGATGGAGGGGGAGGTGCCAGGGGCTGAGGGAGGGGGCGGGGGAATTAGTGTTGAATGGAGACAGAATTTTAGTGTGGGAAGATGAGAAAGTTCTAAAGATGCATTGCATAACAAGGTGAATATAGTTAACACCGATTAAACATGGTTGAGATGGTAAATTTTATGTGATTTTTTTTTCACCACACTTATTTAAGTTAATTTTAAAAGGGATCTTGCGGTAGCAGACTTTCTGGGATTATCTGGGTTGGTTCAGTGTAATCACAAGGGTCCTTAGAACCTGTTGAGAGAACTATCGATCTAGATTTACGTACCCAGCAAAACTAGCATTTAAGAGCAAAGGGAAATACAAACACGTAGAAAGAAAGTAAGCACTGAGGGAGCATTGGCAGCCTGTTCTGAAGAGAATTGATTTCAAGGTGATAGAAGGTGATTCCAGAAAGATGGTCTGAGATATAATACGGGGTGGGTAAAGAGGCGAGGTAAATTCTGTGTGTCCTCTGTACACTAGTGTGCATTTCTGTGAAGTTTTTCTAACAGGTAGGACCGTCCTGCAGGGCAACAATGGCTGCGTCGGGAGAGGAAGAGGTGGCTACCGTGTTCCGGGCTCCCCTCCTCACTGGGGGCGGCAGTGGCTGGAGACCACATTTCACTTTATACCAGACAGCCCAACAGCTCTCCCAAGTGGTTGTTAGAGTGCTTTTGAGATTTCATATTTTTATATCCAAATAGTTGATTCAGTTGGAATTCATTTTTTATAAGGAATGGGGTAAGGAATTTGACTTTATGTTTTCTAAATAGCTAGCTATGAATCGAATATTTCATTTTTTTAATTTGTAAAAAATATTTTATTTACTCATTTTTAGAGAGGGGGGAAGAGAAGGAGAAAGAGAGGAGAGAAACATCAATGTGTGGTTGCCTCTCACACACCCCATGCTGGGGACCTGGTCTGCAACCCAGGCATGTGCCGTGACTGGGAATCAAACCCGCGACCCTTTGGTTTGCAGCCTGCCCTCAATCCACTGAGCTACACCAGCCACAGCGAATATTTCATTTTTAATCACTAATTTTAAATGCCGCTTTTAAGGCATAAAAGTATTTGTGCACACATACAAACACAGTTTGCTCAGTTTGCCTTGCAACCCCACAGCTGAAGTTCATCTGGAAAACCAACAACAGGCAGAGAGGAAAGGCAGGTCCCTCTGCCCCTCCAAGGCACCTCTGTGTGTGAATGGCTCCCCCAGAAGAGCTGTGTGGCAGCCTTGGACTGAGCCTGGCACATGCTACCATGCACGATGTGCTACAGTAAGTGAACTAGTTGGTTTCAGCCACTGGGACTGAATTGAGAACACTGGTCAGCTGATCCTATATACAGGTCTGTCTGCCCCTAGACCCCCAACACCATCCGTCACTAGGGAAATGACAATGACCTACCACTTCCCCATTAAAATGGCTCAGACTAAAAAGCCTGACCGTGCCAAAGGAGGATGTGGAGGAACCGGAGCCTCACACACAGCTGGTGGAGACGTAAAATGTACAGACGCTATGGAAGCAGGCAGTTTTTGTAAAAGTTAAACACAGACTTGCCACATGATCTGGGCATTCTGCTTCTCGATATTTACCAAAGAGAAGTGGAAACACGTCCACGGGAGACTCAGACATGAATGCCCATGACTCACAAAGAAGAAAGAAGCGAGTGCAGCCGCTTGGCAGTGACAAGGAACCCACCTGGAGTTATGACTCCTAAAACGATTATGCTGAGTCAAAGTAGCCATACAAGACAGCCATCCCCTGTGATTCTGTGTACATAAAGTCTAGAAAATGCAAATTAACACTCCGTGACAAAAGTTGATCAGCAGTTGCCTGTGGGGCCGGAAGGAGGGAGTGACAAGGGATGTGAGGAAGCTTCGGGGGACACGGATGTGTTCACTGCCCCGATTTGCTGTCATGCATGTATCCACATGACAAAACTTACCAAACTGTATGCTGCAAATGTGTGCCAGTTATCCCGGCATCTTAATAAAGCTCTTTTTCAAATCATGTGTTTACAAGTTATTTTAAAAGAAGCATTTTAACCAAGGTTTCTGTAGAGCCAATAACTGGATGAATTGGGATTGGAGCCCAATACTCTCTCCATTCCTACTCAAGTCCTCTCTCTTTTACCTCTTTCTTTCCCTCAGTGGCGTCCATCATGGAAGCATTTCTCAAAGTTAAAGCCATTTTCCTGTTGGCAACAGGTAACTTCAATTGAGTAGCCAAAAGTCGACCCTTAATGACTATCGTGCTTACAAAATATTTTCCCTTTCAGCAGAGAATTTCATAAGCCCATAACCATATCACTATCGAACACTTACCTTCCTTAATGCTTCCTGACCTTTGAGCTGGGACGGCCTGGGGAGGCGGAATCTGTGCGATGAGCGGCTGCTGAGGGAGCTGCTGGATGATGGTGGCAGGAGGCTGGGGAACCTAGGGAGAGCCAGGTAACTAGCTACCTGAATGCATCCTTGGAGAGAGTGTCCGATGGCACTCACCTATCCACATACCCACCCACACGTCTACCCACCCACCTACCTATTCACCACCCAGTAACCCATCCATCCACCCACACAGTAATGCATCTGTTCAACCAGTAAGCCACCCATCCATCCACTCAACTAGCCACCCACCCACCCATTCACCTATCTACTTACCCAGTAATCCATCTATCCACCCATCCATCCACCTATCCATCCACCCAGTAACCCACCCACTCATCTACCCACCCACCCAGTAATTCATTCATTCACCCAGTAACCCATCCATCTATCCATCCACACAGTAATGCATCTGTTCAGCCAGTAAGCCACCCATCCATCCACTCACCTAGCCGCCTACCCACCCATCTACCTATTTACTCACCCAGTAATCCATCCATCCTCCCATCCGTCTACCTATCCATCCACCCACTCATCCATCCACCCACCCAGTAATTCATTCATTCACCCAGTAACCCACCCATCCAACCACCTATCCGTCTACCCATCCACTCACTCACCCACACATCCATGTATCTGCCTCATCACCCAGCCATCCACCTATCCATCCATCGACTTATCTACCCTCCATCCAAGGAGGACTTTAGAGAGAAGTTGAATTAACAGCTGAACGGATAAATATGAGAATCCGGTCATTACTTAAGACGTGGTGTGTTATGGACTGAATGTCTGTGTAAACCTGCCCCTCTCCCAAGTCGTATGTTGTAGCCCTCACCTCTAATGTGACAGTATTTGGAGACAGGGCCTGTGAAGAGGTGACAAAGGTTAAAGGAGGTCATAAAGGTGGGACCCTGATCCAAGAGGACTGGTGTCCTTGTGAGAAGGGACACCAGCGCTCTCTGTGTGTCAGTGTGAGGACAGGGAGATGCAGCCATCTGCAAGCCAGGAAGAGAGCCCTGTCTAGGAGCCAGACGGGTTGGCACCTTGATCTTGGGCTTCCAGCCTCAAGTCCAGCCTCCAGCACCGTCAGAAATACACTTCTGTTGTTTAAGCCACCTGTCTGTGTCACTTTGTCATGGCTGCTGCCGCTAATACATGGTATTTTTAATGTTTCCCACATTTCCTGGCTTGACTGGGCTAAGCTAATCCCTGGTTTCATCAGTACTGCTTTAACAGAAGCACCCAAGGACTGTGTCGTGAAAATAACCTCTGGCTTCTCTCCTGGGGTAAAAATAAACGTACAGCAATTCTGAGCATGCACCAGGCAGTGAGCGCGCACCAGAAAGACTTTGTTTTAGTCCTTTGTGGCTGTACAAGGCCCTGACCCTGTCCCTTCTTTCTCAGGTCACAGAAGGCATGGTGTGGGCCACGGCAGCGAGCTCCTCCCATGAGCCTCTGGGCTCTGGGGGCCGACCACTCAGCACAGATGCGGCACTAACGAGGCTGGTCCAGTGAGACTGTGAATGAGCACGGAGGTTTGCATTTCATATCCTTTTCCTGTGTCCCAAGCTGTTCTTCCTTTGATTTTTTTTTCTCCAAACATTTACAAGTGCAAAAGCACTCTTAGCTTGCAAGTTGTGCAGACACAGGTGGCAGGCCAGCCTTAGCCGCAGGCATAGTGGACACCCCCGGCATTGACCAAGGAGGCCCTTGTGGAGACTGTGCCTGCCTGTTCTGTCTGAGGGACCTCCTACCTCCAGCTCTCTGAGTCCAGCTTCTAGAAATTCAGTGACTAAGGGCCCTGATTGGCCTCTTGGTGTCACTGGTACTGAGACTGATACATGGGAGCATGGCCAGACCCTGGTCAAGTGCAGGAAGTATGAATGTGCTTGAGACTGGGGGGAGCCTCCTGCGCTTATGCCCCCACCCTCCCTTGGTACCTTCAGGTGGAGGTTCCAGGTGTCAGAAGACGGGGGTGAGGGGGGTGGGGGGGCATAGGCTGGGGATAACTGGGACCTGGGCACAGACAGCCCAGGGGCAAAGGGGGCTCTGGAGGCTCTGGGGGCTCTGTGAGCATGGGCCCCTCTGAGGCACCCCTTCCCACTCCATCCCCTCCACCTAGGGCTGCCAGGCTCCCTCTCAAAGAACAAGTGTCCTCCAGGCCCTGACCCAACCTGCCAGCGCCATCAAACTCCCTGGCCAGCCGGTGCAGAACCTTCGCAGCTAGGCCCGCCCACTTCCTCAGCCATGTCTTCTCACCAGTCACACTGATCTTCGCCCTGAGGCCTCCATGTGCCAGATTCCAGCTTCTGTCCCTCCCCTGAGTCCCAGCTGGCCTCCGACACAATCCCCTTTGCTTAAACAAGTCAGCCGCTTTGCGCTGTTTGCAGCCCAGCATGCCGAACGAAGGTATGAGGCTCTCAACATTGGAACACTCCTCCCCCCACCTTTTTCTAAAATTGTGCCCTCGATATTAAGGTTTTAAGCTTCTCCTGGTCATTATGGAGTTTTGTAAAAGAGTTAACTTGCCTCTTCCCCAAATCCAGGGTCCTCTAGATGCTGAAGTTCCCTAATACTCCTCCTAGAGCAAAAGTCAGGACCTGGGGCTGGGACCCCAGCCTCTCATCTTTAGTAAGGGGACGAGACCTCCCCAAAGCCCTGTCTTAGGGCGCCTGCAAAGATGACTGAGGTGAGTCACTGAAGTCCTTGTGAATGCCTGAGCCTGGTAAGTGCGTCGCCGCTGGCTCTCCCTCTTCAGCGCACTCTCATGATGCTGCTGAGATGGTGGCAGACAGGAGGCCTCTGTGGGCAGGGCACAGCCTTTGCACAGAGGTTCTGGCCCCCCCTTCACCAAAGACCTACCGAGTGCTGGATGACCCGAGGCAGCTCCAGGGCCGGTGGGGCTGTGGAGGCAGCGGGGTAGATCCCAGGTGGAGCCGGGATCCCGGACGGTACCTCTGGAGGCAGCGCTGATGGATGGGCTCCTCCGCTGGGCCCCCTCCAGGCACCGGCACTGGCACGGGCGAGCTCTTCCAGGAGGTGTTGTTCCTGCAATGCCAGGCAGGGACCGCTGCACTGAAGGGCAGCCGCCGAGCCCGGTGAGAGAGCCTGCGTGCTGGGGCCCTCCATGCTGGGTGGCCCATGCAGGACACCGGGGGTCTCCATCGCTCCCCCACAGGGCTTCCCTGGAACTGGAGCCAGGCCTGACAGCAAGGCCCAGGGGCCCTTTGAGAGGGACACACGCGAGAACACTGCTCCTTTGAAAAATGTACTGAATCGTATGAACTGGTTTCTGGGTCTAGCTGCCCCAGCATCCCCTCTACTACGAGTGCGACATTTATCATAACTATTTGTGTGGACTTTGTGTGCACCTTCCTGCTGCTGGTGGGTGGAGCTGGGACCGGGCCTCTGGGCTTCTTAGAATTCTACTTCCTGTAGGAATCGGGCCCTTTATTCAGCATTTCCTCCTTGGATAGTGTACCACCAGAGCGGATGTCATAGCTAATCATGCGCTCGTCAGGGGCCCGGACCATAGATAGTGTGAGCGTGTTCCTCTCTCCATTTAGTCCACTCCATGCCCCAGGCATGAAGTCTCTAGGCTGCTCCCCGTTCACCAGCTACCCATCCACGGGTCACGAACCTCAGAGAACCAGTGCCGAGCCCAGAAAGACGGTACACCCCAACTCCCACCCCTAGCCCCGACCCCCACCTGCACCCCACCCCCAACTCAGGTCTGAGTGTGGTGGCCAGTAGTTTCAGCTATAGACAGCTCCAGCCAAGGCTGCTGCGACACCGGCCTACCCGGAGTCTCTGCAGAAGGTCCTTCCTCCTCCTCAGAGCGCTCTGCAGGGCTGCATCCGGCCTGTTTTCTTGTCCTGGAGAGAAGCTGTGCTGAGCAATGTGCAGACCCATCGGCACGCCCCAACCTTACCCACTGGGACCTGGAGGTGACCAGACCCTCCATTTTCTCACCTGGAAAATGGGGGTGAGGGGTGTCCCTGTCCTGAGGTTTGCAGATGACGGTGACAAATAGGATGTGAGGGTACACTGAGTAGAGCACCTGGTGTGTGCCTGTGTGTGAATGTGCAGGCATGTGTGAGTGTATAAGTGCATGTGAGGTATGCTCTGCGTGCATGCGTGTGTGTGTGTGTGTGTGTGTATGCACGTGTGTGTCAGTGAATGTTGTGAAGATGAAAACAAAAGGACATACTTCAGCCTTGGACATAGGAAACAGCATTAAACACAGTCTTGCCGGTGACAGGAGTGGGTGGGACCTGAGCAGAAGGTCTCATGCCTGCTCACAGGGCCCAGCTCTTACCCAGTACAAGGTGGGGGTCCTCAAAATCCCCTTCCACATCCTCACGCTCCCGCTCCAGTTTCTGTGAGGAAGAGACCGTGGCAGGGACAGGCTCTGGGACAGGCTCAGTGTGAGCAGGGTGCAGGCTGGCGTGGAGCACCTGCCCGTGTTCCTGGCAGTGCCCCAGACACGGGGGACTGGGCAGGAAGTGCCGTGTGATGGAGGTGTGGGACAGGCCACAAGGGCAGTCATCCTCTCTCAGGGACGTGTGTGTCATTCCTCACACAGCACACATGTCCCCCCTTGAATTCTAAGGGTGGACACTTTGTTGTGTGCAGCCCCTTCACACAGCTTTTTGAAGAGCCAGGCGCAGGCTAGTTCTGTGTCCCTGACCACCCTGACCGCCCCATGTGGGCTTTGAGCTGGACAGCCACAGTCTGGGCCAGTCCTGGGGTGACCCCTGCTGGCCCCTGCAAGGTGGCCCATGGGTCACCAGAGGAGGGCTGGCAGGGAGGTGCAGGGCTGCAGGGGCTGCAGAAGAGGAATAAAGCAAGTGGGGACAGGGAGGAGCTGCCCTGCTGTGCTGGGCGACCTGTGGGGACAGGCCAGCCATGGACCACGCAGACCCTTGGAGGACAAGAAAGCTGGTGTGACGGAGAGGCCACCAGGCCTCCTGCCCCAGGCCCAGCCCAGGGGCCTGTGGGTCCTACTCGGGGTAGGTGTCTGTCTTCCCTTAAACACTGAAGCCCAGAGGCTGGCCCTCAGGGGACCTTCGTGGGCCCTGGCAGTGCCCGGCCAGTAGGTGCCTACTTGTGTCCTGGCTGTGAAAACTGCCAGGAGAACCTACTTGGTTCCGTACAAACAAAAAGAAGAAAAGCCAAGAAACCACAGTCCTTCATTACAAGGCTGAAAACCACTGGAGAGGATTTTGCTGGGAAGCCGTAGCACTCACAAAAATAGTCTTACCTTTTAAAGCGGAGCTCCTCTAATCAGGTGTTGAAAATACAAGTGCCTGGCTGTCTTACCTTCTCCAAGAGTTTCAGCGTCAGTCGGGTCATTTGGTCTGCCACGGAGGAGTCCAGCATCTCAGGACCGTAGGAGAGGGGACGCCGCAGGCCCCTCCCTTCCTGGTTGTTGGTAACCTGCAGGAAAGCACAGCTCAGCAACCTGAGAGAAGCAGCCTCGGCCCCAGTGTCACTGAAGGATTGTGGCGCTGGCCTCAGTTTACTTCCTGGAGACTGGCCTCTGCCAAGGAGTGGGAGGGCCCCACAGTCCCCTGGGCTGCAGTATCTGAAGCCAACACTGGCATCGCCACAGCAGTTGCTAGGCACTGCAGACAGGTAGGCCCCAGGTTGCCAGGTTTTCTCTGAGAGTCCTTCCCAGGCCCTGCCCAGTTCTCATGCAGGGGTTACCTGCAAACACCACCATTCCCAGGTGTGGCCAAGTTGGGCTTCTTGGGAGGGCAAAAGTGGACAGCAGCTGGGGCCAGAGGGGCAGAGTGGGAACCTGGAGGGAAGACAGTCCCCACCCCATGATGTGTCACCCCCCTCCCGTTGGACAGAGCCCAGAAGAGGGCGAGGCTGTGGGGAGGGGTCAGCCGTACCCATCCCCACTGCACGTGGGTCCTGTGTGCTCCATCCATGACCACCTCTGGAAGGCCAGCAGGCCCCTGGCTGCTCCTAGGCACCCTCCAAACAAGATGACGGGAGTGAAGCCCTAACACCAGCAGGACTGGGTAGGGAGACCAGATCCCCTAGGATTTTAGGAAATTCTGGGCCACAGAGAGGGCAGCACCAGGGAGCTGGCCAATTACCCAGCCGGGGGCTTCCTGGCGGGGCTGCGTTTTGCTCACCCCATGGGCACCCACCTGAACATTCGAGGGGCAGGGGCCAGGCCCTCACCCACCAGGCAGAATGTGAGTCCAGTGCTGGGACTGCCAGACGGGAACCCTGCCAAAGAAGCAGTGGGTGTCCTAACAGCAATGCAGAGAGGGCACCTGGGGCAGGTGTGAGCAGAGGGGGCACCTAGGGCAGGTGTGAGCAGGGGGGTGGGCCCAACAGTGGAGGCCTTTGTAGCCAGTGCATGGCATGCAGAGGACAGGGCACAGAACGGAGAAGCAGTTCTTGGTTCACGTGGCTTTTCATTTCAGGTTTTCAGATGGGCCACACAGACTGATGAAGGGCTGTAACAGATTTGAAACTGGAGCTGTGACCACAGTCCAGGGCTGGGTAGGAGCGGAGCTCAGCAGCTGACAGCCAGCCCTCTTCTCGTGCAGCCAACCCAGAAACTTGCATCAGATGGCCAAAATAAGTTAAAATCCCTTAAGTTGCCCTTCAGTATTTAGGCTTTATATGTATTATAACCCTAATGCTCAAACAGGAGATTTGAATGTGCACAAAAACTAGTTAACTTAGCAATTTTAGGTAGCTAAGAGATAACTCCACACCCCAGGGAGGTGAATTTATTAGATGGTCTAAAATAAAACAAACTATTTTTTTGAATAGTTTAGATTCACAGAAAAATTGAGAAGATAGTACAGAGAGATCCCACATAAGTTTCCCCAATTATTAATATCTTGTATTGGTATCACCTATGTGTTAAAATTAATGAACCTATATTGATACGTTATCCTTGACTAAAACCCATACTTCATTTCATTTCCTTATTCTTTTTGTCCAAGGTTCCCTTTCTGTCCCGTGTCCTGTCCCCTCTGGCTTTTGATGACCTTGACAGTCTTGAGGAGACTGGGTCAGGGATTTTGAAGAATGTCCCTCTCTTGGGATTTGTCTTATGCGTTTCTCCTGACTAGCCCGGGGTTATGGCTCCTTGGGAGGAAGGCCACAGAGGTGCAGCCCCCTTCTTATCATATCCCATCCAGGGTGCCTGCTGTCAGCCAACACGACCTGTCGCTGTTGGTGTTGGCCTTGACACTGTGGCAGAAGTCGTGTCAGTCCGGTTCTCTGCTCCGCATCACCCATCGTTTTTCTCTCCCCACAGTGTCCTCTGGGGAAGGAGGTTGCTGTGCACGGCCAGCCCACATTTAAGAAGTGGTGGGTTGGTTATGTTTCCCTTCTTGAGGGGTGAGTACCCAATCATGACAGAACCTGTTTAGAATGGCCATGGACGTGACCCTGGGATTTAGAGGAACACAGTTTGGAAATCCCTGACCAAACCCTCACGGGCAAACTGTGCACAGGGCCCCCATGGAGCTTTTAGTGTGTTGCAACACACAAAGTCTGAAAGATTCAGGAATAGATCTGGGTCTTTGGCTGCTCTTGGAAAGTCTGATCCTGTGGTGGTCGACCATTATCACAGCCTGCCTGGCCCCTGGTTTTATGAGCCTACCACCTCACGTTTGCTCAAGCTGCTCATTTCTGTGAGCTAAGACTGGAAACTTCACTCACCACACAAAGGCCTGTGTTGCCACACAAGAGCACTAATACTTTCTGGCAGTTGAGTTTCCGGGGCTTCCTAACGACTATCTGTGTAAGTCGTGGTTGCTTAGAATCACATGTTCTCACTGAGGTGGAAAGGTGAGCTGTGTCAGCTAGATGTCACCACGGCACCTTAACAGAAGTACATTTTACTGTTGGTCTGCCTCAGAGAAAGGAGCAAACAGGGAGCACATGGCCTTTGCACAAACCCCTTCAAGTCATGATACAGGAATGGATACGGCAGAAGAAAACCCAAACGCCATGGTATGCTTACTACAACATCGCCTGCACAACGTCACCCACCCCAATCCTGTGTTTTATGCCACCTCTGGTTGTAGTCCACTTGGAGTACTGTCATTCTCCCCAGCAAAAGTGTCCCAGATCTGAACGAGGGTATCCTGGGTGTTTACACTTCTCAGCGGGAAATCAAGGCACAGCTGTTCAGTGGTCTCCCACATCTCTCTGGGATTTGGTGACTCCCACCTGGTCCTTGTCATCTGCCTATGCTCTGTGATATCCTAATCTTGCAACTGAAATGTGGTGTGTACTATTGACAGACTCTAACCTTGGGGTTTTGCTTTCATTTTCCCTTTAATGGCAAATGTGATGTTAACAATAATGATGAGTAAAGATAAAATAAGACTGAGAACGTGAAGCCCATTTAAGGTAAACAAGATCACCACTTAAGAGTGGCTGCTCCCCTGGGTGCCCACACTGATTAGGAACTCATCCAGGTCCAGTTACATTAGAGTAACAAGAAGTGCATGCCAGATGCTTTGGATTGTCAGTTATCAGAGGCTGTCAGCTTCCAATGAGCTTGATTACACTACCAGCATTTGATTGTTAATCAAAGCTGTGGGCTAGGGATAAAAACCTTTCATTGTTTCCTTATCTGGACAAACGGGTTCAAGTGAAGCTAAGGAACAATGATCGCGAGACTTCAGATTGCCACCCAGACTACAAATTATTAACTAAAGTCACATTCCTCTTATTTCAAAAAATTTTTATTACTTTACTTTTAGAGCTGTTTTAAGTTAAACATTCCTTTTTTTTATAACCATTTGCAATATATATGGAATGACTTATGCAAATATTTCAAAATCTTAATCCTTTTCCATTTGAGAAGAGACTAATTTTGCTATTCACTGAATCATTGCTTGCCTTCTAGGAATCTAGAACTGGATACGATTACTGTATCATTTACAGTTCATTCCACACCAAATTTTTTTCAAGACCACAGGCCACTTGGCAAGTCGTCTTATGGAGCCCCTTCATCCTGGGGTCCCAGAGACTGTCCTAATAGCAACAGACACGCATACAGGAATGGGTTTGCCTTTCCTGCGCGCAGGGCTTCAGTGAGCCCCTCTCTGCAGAATTCCCAACCAGCATGGGGTCCCTCCTAACACTCTAATCCAGGGAACTGCTTTATGGCAGATGCTGGAGTAGTCCCATGACTATGGGACCCTCTGGTCAAATGCTAACGCTGCACCACGCAGAAACTGCAAGCTGGAGGCACATACATTAACTCAGAGACCTCAATCTGGCACTGGGTCTCCAGGAGTAAGAATACACGCATGGGTCCAGCAGTGGTACCAGACCCAGTGGCTTCCTTTCCCTGCAATTCTGGGCTCTGTGGTTGGAGGTTCTGACCCAGGTTCCCACCGAACTCATAACTGGCTGCCCTGGTACTTGGGCTCCTTCTGTCCAGGAGCCTGCAGGAAAGGAGGCAGAAGTGAAGTGATACACCAGGGGAAGGTTCGGCGTATAGGAAAAGATCCAAAGTGATCTTGTCGGCTCTCTGGACTATGAAATGAATACAGAGCATCCCAGCGGCGAAGGGCTGTGACTGGGGCTCAGCCCCAAGGAACGAGGGAGGGGATCTGGGACTGACAGCGGGGGTGAGACGTGGGATGCCCACTGCAGCCCTAAGGCAAATCGCTGTTTCCCAGGCAAAGGGGAGCAACTCCAGGAGCTGCTTCCCGGGCGCTCGCGGAGTAGATGCCCGTGGGAACGAGGAGTGGGAGGCCTGGAAGCTCTTTCTTGAAGAAGGTGGGGTAGTCTTTGCATGCTCCCCGGTTCCTTTGGGGTCAGTCTCTTCTCCCCAGGGGGCCATGTCTAACAACCGAGTAACGAATCGGAATAAAGCTGAGGCCAACCCTTACTCCAGCGGACTTAACGTCGGTGGGGCCTGCTCTGGATATTGTGGAACAGGAACGCTCGAGAGCCGTATCTCGGAGCAGTACCGCAGCCCTGGCGGCTGCACCAACAGGGCGGTGCCTCGGCCCTTCAAAATCGACCAACCACAGCGAGCTCTGAGGCCACCAGGTTTCGCTTATTGGTGTGTCATCGCGCCAATCGGAAAACGGCAAGCGGCAGGGGCGGAGTTCTATGCCCACCAAGGCCTTAGAAGCGCGCGTACGCTAAGGCAGGAACGTGACCCCTGATTGGCGGCGGAGCTGGCAGGGCGCTGGGCGGGCTTAAGTCTGCGTGACAGTTGTCGCGGGGGAGGGCGCGCCAGGGAGAGGGGGAGTGTAAATAGAGCGAAGGCGGCGCCGCGTCGGACCCGTCACCTCCCGGGTGGACCTCGAGGAGGCCTAGAAGGAGATGGAAGACGATGAGCAAGAACAGCGGCGCAGAAAGGTGGAGGCCGGGAGAGCGAAGGTAAACGGTAGCGCCGACTCCTGTTGCTGCCCCGGTGTGAACTTTTAAGAGCGGGCTCCAGTCCCCGCCACCACCCCCTGCCAGGAGCGGTCGAGGTCAGGCAGAGGCCGCCGCCGCTGAACTTGCTCTTTCCATCAACTCGGCTGGATGTCCCCTCCTGGCCGCCGCCATCTTGAATCCGCCGCCCTCTGCCCGAACCCGCCCCCGCCGCGGT